GGTAGCGCCACTATCGATCACCCAATAGTCCAGAGGGTGTAGAGTCACCTTCCCCACAGCTGCTGGCTCCTCAAAGCCTTCATCCTTCTCTGGACCAGTCGGTACTTGCGTCGACACGAAGTAGAATAGACCCGGGTACCGATCGTTGCTCGGGTCCTTGTCGTTGTCTCCGCTCTTCATGTTTGCAGCTCCGCCACCGCGACCGCCACGGCCTCCACGGCCTCTTCCTCTCCCTCCTCCTGCTCCTCTACTCTCTTGGCCTTGAGCAGGGGTCCAACCATCAGGGAGTTTGTAGCAGTCGCGCCTCATGTGTCCACTCTTGTGGCAATAGTGACACTCGCCGTTGAATCGGCCGCGACCGCGTCCGTAGCTCTTGTCGTCGCTGCCGTAACCGCCACTCCCGCGGCCTCCGCCAAAGTTGCTGCCACCAAACCTTCCTCCCCCTCGTCCTCTACCTCTTCCTCGACCATATCCACGGCCGATGCTCGCTGCCCCAGCGCCATCCGCACTCGCCAACTCACGGCGGCGGAAATCCTCTTGAAGGATAGCTCGCTTCACGTCTTCAAGCGAGAGGCGGGGCAAGTCGCGATTAAGGTTGATGATGAGCGAGGACCATGACTCAGGGAGTAGGGCCAGCAACTTGGTCTTCTTTTGGAGCTCACTATAGTTCAAATCAGCTCCCTCAAGTCGCGTCAACAAGTCGAAGAATTTCTGCACCCCTTCTTCAACCGCTTCATCCTCTTCAATTCGTAGTGTCGCCATTTGCCGTTCCAACACCACAGCTACCGCCGCTGTTGCAGGAGCGTGTACACCCTTGAGAGCAGCCCATGCCTTTGGTCCCTTCTCTGGTTCATGCTGGAAAGGCTTGATGTGACGGATTTGGCTGCTCCCCAACGCTTGCCCAAGTAGGAGGTAGCCTTGTGCGCTCTTCCGCACCCACGGGCTCTTCTCCGGGTCGTTCTCGAGACGCTTCTCCGTTCCTTCCATTACGTCCAGCAGGTCATAGTGGTCAAATATGTTCTCCATTCTGAAGGACCACTCAGCAAAGTTGTCACCATTGAACTTGTCAATGCCAAACACTCTACGCTCATCCCTAGATGGGCCAACACTTGATTGCACAGGCGCCATGGCTGAATCACAGGGCTGGCCTTGAGCTTGGGCTTCTCCTCTACCACCTGCACCTCTGCCACCCCTTTCCTCAGGTCCAGCCATTATCGAAACTGCTCCAAAGGGCTCTGATACCACTTGTTATAGTCACAATAGGCTCCAATGTGCCTAAAACGAAACATAGAGTGCACAACCGGATTTCTGCACTGCGGCTTCAAACGTTCATAGCGTTCTGGTCACAACTTCAAATGACCTGATTCAACTTGGATCTGGAGCGTCTGAACGTCGCCTACAATAGGCAATTTAGATCGCACAATTTCACCAAGTATTGATGACACAGTGTTGGTTTGAACGAACGGCACTATGGCAGCCACTATAGTCTTAGAACACAAAATAGGAAGAGATATGAAGAGTTACGAGTTGGGAATGACTCCCAGCTCCTACAAACCCCAAGAGCCAAGGTACAGTGATATGGAACAGTGCCACACTGTCCCCAACCACGAAGGGTCTCGAAACTACCCTTCACTAGGGCCTACACCAAGTGAAATGTTACACTACACAAAGTAATGTAACTATCTTCAATATTTTGAGGTGTACCTTTTTGGCGAGCTTCGAAATCACTTGAGGCTTGACACCAAGGCTCGGGCTCTTCATCACAAACTCATCCTTGAGTTCTTGATGGGTCTGCTGCACACACCTGCGACACACCGAACGTTCGACACAGGACAAAATAGAAACCGCGCACGACAAAAATAGAAACCGCGCGCGAGACACAAACGACCACGTAACACGCGTCTAGCGATAACTCGCTATTGACGCGACACACACACTCGACATCATGACTCGACATTCACACACAATTATAAGCATGAAATATATATTATCCCATGCCCTCATACCATTCCATACACACACACATGCACACACACGGACAACAAGCCGAGTGCAAACCGTAGGGTTGCACCAACAAACACTTAGCTCGCAGCGCGGTGCACCAACGTTTGACACCACGACCACCCACCACACCTCCCCTTCATTGTTGCCAGCGCATAGCTCGCAGGGCGCTGCCACTCTCACTTCACCACATACATCCACCCCACCCCAGCTTCCCACCATTCACGCCCAGGTGCCGTGCATGCAGTGACCACCTGGGGGTTGAGAGGTCCTTATACAAGGACCTCTCATCTTCCGCTTCGTCACCGTGCTTGCCAGGCTCTCTCACGTCTTTCCGTTTGCCTGGCCTGAAACTAGTGTAGGAGCCCTTGTTTCAGCCTCCCTTTTCCGAGCTCGCTGCACCACTGCTCGGCAGGCTCAATGGCTGCCTCAGAAGCTGTCGATGATGGGCCCGACGAGGAGGATGATGCTGATGTTTGCCCAGCTTCGGACCCACTCACCGGTCTAGACTTCCTTAGATCTCTCCTACCGAAACATAATCCACAGCAACCTAAACCGTCGCAACCCAGCACTATTCGCCCATCGATTCCCACTGCCTCTGCTGCTCTGCACGAGGCCGTCGCTGAACCAGCGACAGCCGCGTAACAGGCGGTGCGCCAAGATTCGTCCGTCGAAGCACCTTCTCGTCCCGCGCCACCGACAAACCTGCGGTTCCGTCAGTCCACAATTACGTGGGCAACACCACCTCCATCGACCACTGAGACTCTTGCCAGTGATGCATCTCCCATGCAGGACAACTCGAAGCCCACGCAGGCTAGCTCAAAGCCCAAGGCTGACAAGCCTGAGTTGAAATACGAAGAAGCGCATGCGCGGTACAAATCCAAGTGGTCCACCGATTTCAGTTGGCTTGTCCTTACTCAAACCTCCACTCGTGCTCCTTCTTTCAAGTGCAGTATTTGCTTGGAATTTTCAGGACTGAATGGCATGTGTGGGCGGCGTACCGAGGGAGCAACCGACGTGCAGACACAGTCCTTCAAAAAGCACGAAGGGAAGGCGAAGCACCGGTTTGCTCTGCAGCGCCAGGAGGACTTGTTCCAGAAATACGGGCACCATCAGCGCATCGACATGCACCCGAAGGCGCAGGACTTGGAGATGCTGCAGCTGTCTTCGCTCGTGGACTCGCTGTACTTCATGGGGAAGTCCAACGAGCCCATGGACTCGTGGATCCGGTTGGTGCGCTACCTGGCGAAGAAGAAAGTGCCCGGGTTTCCCGCGGAGAGCTACGACACGTACTACAACACGTAAGTAGTGTCTGTAGCATGCCTGTTGGTTTTGTTTCTGTTTGACTGTCACTAACGACTACGTTTTCTTTGTGTAGGTACGGATTTGGAGAACTCACCCAAGCAATTGCGACATAGCTCCAAACAACGCAACTTGAGCACCTTCTGACGAGCCCATTCATCAAGATTACACTAGACGAGAGCACCGACCGTCGCCGCGGCAAACACATGATTGTGTTTGCCACCTTTCTCCGCGAGGGACAGGTTGTCACGGAGTTTATCGCTCACTTGACTTTGAGAAGGCTGGCGCTGCTTCTTTGTGCAGTTTGTTGGTTTACCACCTCAGGTCTCTCGGCGTTGACCTGCGGCGTATCTCGCGAATGAGCACTGATGGCGCGTCTGCGATGGTGGGGAGTCAAAACGGTGTGGTTGCTCGCCTGCGAATGCTCATCCCCAATCTGGTCTCGTTTCACTGCATCGCGTACAAGTGCGTTTGTGTTTTAATGTGTCACACTCTGTATTGTTTAACCCTTTGTTTGTTTTAATAATCACTAACCCATTTGTGTGTTTCTGTTTGGCAGGGAGGCGTTGGCTGCCAAGGCCGCGGCAGAGGAGATACCAACGTTCAACATTATGGACGATGTCATCCGCGCCGTCGCAGAGTACCTCAGGCGATCGTCACCGTGGCATCAACGCTTCATGGAGCTGCAGGAGCTGTTCACCTCCACCAACCTCGAGGTCCAAGGCATACATGACGTGCGGTGGCTTTCACGAGGAGCTGCAGTCACCCGGTTCGTCCACGTCCTTCCAGCGATCATGGTGATGCTGTCGGAGTGGAAGGACCAGACCATGTACGAAATCGTCACGTCGTACAGGTTCCAGTTCCTCATCAGGTTCCTTGCGGACCTACTGGAGCAGCTCAACGTGCTCTCCTCCGTTTTCCAGAAGCGGGAGGTAAGTTGCCTACTACGTGTTGCATGTTTTGGTACTAATTTGAATGTGTTTGTTGGTCATCTGCTTTGTACTAAATTTTTTTGAATGTGTTTGTTGCAGCTCGACTACGCGCAGGTGCACACGCAGATTGTGAGGAAAAACAAGAATGGAATGACTATGGAATGAAAGTGATACAAATATGCAACCCTAGAAATGTGTACCCCATATGGGCTACCCCACTAAAGCCTAGACAACATTATAATTTGACACACCTCCATAGGCAAAGTGGGGGAGAACAAGGGGTCACAAGACCACTCAAGCAAAGCAAAGCAAAGCTTAGGGTGGATCACAAAGTCACCACACATTCCGAGCACAAGTTCAAGGCCAGTTCACATGTAGGAGCACATATTTATATATAAGAGGCTAAGCAAGCAAGAGCAGGAGAATATATATGTGATAGTACAAGCAAGGTCAAGAAGTGACCAAGTGAGGCAAGACAGGCACAAGACCAAGCTGAGTACAGAAGCGCTAATGATCACAAGGCGCAAGTGCCTTGGTGAAAACATCAGCACTGTTGGCCTCAGAGGCCACGTACGCAAGCCGCAACCGACCACGCTGCTGTAGCTCACGAGCAAGGAAGTAGCGAAGAGCAATGTGCTTTGTTCTGTGCTCCAGTCTCTGCTCTCGACACAAGGCCAGCATGGCCTTGTTGTCTACGTACAGCACTGGAGGAGAACGAGGCGGCTCTCCAAGGCCGGTCAGCAGGTAGGTGAGCCAGCGAAATTCCTATGCAGCCATGGCCCCAGCGTAGATCTCGGCCTCACAACTGGAGCCGAGAACAGAGGACGAGCGAGTAGCCCGCCACGAAACAGAGCCGGAACCAAGGCTGAAGATGTAGCCCTGTGACGACCGCTGCGTAGCCTGGTCATCAGCCCAAGAAGCGTCCGCGTGCCCTGTGAGGACCACTGGACTCTGCCCTCCAAGCACTAGCCCCATGCCCGACGTACTGCACAAGTAGCGCAACACCCTCTTCGCTGCAGCCATGTGCTCTGGTCTGTGTCTCCCAGGAGCAACATAGCGTGCAAGAATGCTAAGAGGGTATGCAAGGTCAGGTCGTGTGCACGTCATCAGGTACATGAGGCAGCCAACAAGCTCTGGGTACGGGCCACTCGACTCTACGGACTCATCCGAAGGCAGAGCTGAGAGCGAGTGGCGAGTAGGTAGAGGAGTGGCCTGAGGCGAGGAGTACGTGAAGCCGAAGCGCTGAAGGACCTGCTGCACCATGTGTGACTGAGTCAGGGTAATGGTGCGGCGTGCTCTGTCCCGGGTGATCTGCAAGCCAAGGTAGCTGCGCAGTTCACCCAGGTCTGTGCACGTGTGTCTCTTCTGCAGCTCCAACTTCACGTGGGCGAGTCCAGCAGTGTTAGCAGTGGCAAAGACCAAGTCGTCGACGTACACGAGGATGTAGAACAGCGGCAAAGAGGTGTCGGTGCGTAGAAACAGCGACGGGTCAGCAGTAGAGGGAGCAAACCCAAGAGCCGCAAGTGTAGTCCTCAGTGTGTCGTGCCACTCGCGCGGTGCCTGGCGGAGACCGTAGACTGGCCGTTGGAGGCTCCACTGGGTGCCAGGAGGGAAAGTCTCAGTGAAGCCAGGTGGACGGCGCAGCCAGATCTCCTCGTGAAGGCTACCCTGCAGAAAAGCAGTGCTGAAATCAAGGGAGTGAAGCTTGTAGTCACGCTGAGCGGCTATGTGTAGCAGCACCCGAAGAGTGGTCATCTTCGGGGTGGGAGAGAAGGTCTGAAAGTAGTCAACTCCCTGCGGCTGACTGAAGCCACGAGCCACGTACCGCGCCTTGAAGACAGGCGAAGAGCCCGGCGGCCGCTTCACACTGAAGATCCACATGCCACTGACGATGTTCGCCCCAGGTGGGGGAACCGCGTCAACGTAGGTGCCTGTGGACTTCCAGGAAGCCATCTCTGCATCCATAGCTGCCTGCCACTGAGAGGAGTAGGGAACCTCTACGGCCTCCGTGTAAGAGCGCGGAGTCGGGATGTCAAGTGCATCCGGGTCTCCCTCAGGGGTAAGCAGTACGGACACGAGATGAGGTGAAGCAGCTGCCATATAGTGGAACTCCTCCTGCCTGTCCTCAAGGACGTCCGTGCCAAGAGCACACTCACCCCCGACGGACGGAGGACAGAGAGACGCAGACTCAGCAACGAGACTAGCAGCGTAGTCTAGACAACAGCGAGCAGCAAAGTCGACGAGCTGAGCAACAAGAGCAGACGCAGCAGTGGACTCAAAAGAGGGGTCGGTGACGACAGTAGCAAGCAGACGCGTGACAGTAGGACTGGCAGCACGAAGAGAGTCCCACTCCGGGTCGGCAAGGGCAGGAAGAGAGGACTCAGGAGGAGAAGGCAAAGGGGCACGCAGAGGAGCAATGGACGGACACAGAGACATCCGGTGCGTGCCAGGGACAAGAGGAGGACGATGACGCGAACCGCGACCACTAGCGCGAGCAGCACGAACAGGTGAGGCAGGACAAGACGCAGGCTCACGACGCTCAGAAAGACCTCCAGTAGGACCAGTGTAGGGAGAAGGAGCAGGCAGTGGGGAGGCTGGCGGTAATTGTAACTGTGACTGGACAGGCGGTGGACACTCTAAGGGAGGAGGAAGACCAAGAAGCTGCTGAAGGAGCGGAACAAAGTACAGCCGAGGCCGCGCGGCGCCTCCAGACACAGCAGGGACAACACCAGCACCCTAAGTGGCAGCACCAGCTCCAACAGTACCTCCAGCTCGAGTACCTCCAGCAGCACCAGCAGCACCCGCAGCAGGACCGCCGCTAGGACAGACAGCAGTAGTCTCAGCGCCAACACACTCAGCAGCTCTGACTCTAGTCGCACTCGCAGGCGCAGCAACTCCAGCACTCCCAGGGCTAGCACCTCCGAGACCGGCGGCACCAGCACCCTCAGCAGCCGAAGAAGCACCAGCTCAAGCTGTACGACTCCAGCGCCGGGCAAACCACTCGCGCAGCTCCTGTGGAGAGAGTGGATCCCGCCGAGACGAAGCACCCGGAGAACCACCAGGCCCAGAACCGCCAGACGCCACACGAGCAGGTCCAGCGGCCGCGGGCTCCGCACCCCCAGGCTCAGCAGCTCCAAACACAGTACCCCCAGGCTCAGCAGCTCCAGACGCAGCAACCCCAGGCAAAGGACCCCAAGGCTTAGCACCCCCAGTCGTAGCACCCCCAGGCTCAGTACCCCCAGGCTCAGCACCCACTCGCGCAGCACCCCCAGAGTTAGCACCCCCAGGCTCAGCACCCGCAGCAGTACCACAGTCACCAGCAACCTCGACCGGCTTGACTGCGTCTACCTAGGACACACCTGAAGGGGCAGGACCCTGAGGGGGGAGGGGGTCTACCTGGGGGGGACCTGGCACAAGGAAGTGCGGCGGCGGGGGGAGGGAAGGAGTGCGGTAGGGGAAGAGACGTAGTAGGGGACCGACTCATCAAACGTGACGTCCTGGGAGGACAGAACACGACGAGAGGAGGGGTGGTAGAACTGCCACCCTGGTGAGTCAGGGGGGAAGCCAAGGAAGACACAAGGAGCAGCACGAGGGGACAGCTTGTCCGCAGACAAGTCGCGAACAAACGCGCGAGATCCCCAGACACGGAACGCAGACGCATCGCCTACCTTCCCCATCCATAGCAGAGCTGGGGAGGTCTCTGGCATGGAGACCCTGGGGTGAAGGTTGATCTGATGCGCCGCGTACCGAACCGCAAACGGCCACAGAAAATGGGGGGCAGCCGCATGCATCATGGACGTACGAGCGACGTCCATGACCATGCCAATGCGGCGCTCAGCAATCCCATTTTGCTGTGGAGAGTCCGGAAGCGTAAAGGTCTGGCGGATGCCTTGCGGACGACAGTAGGCTCGCAGAAGACCAGAGGAGAACTCTCCGCCTCGGTCAGAGTGCAGACGCAGAACAGGAAAGTCCGAGCCGAAGCTCCTCCTGAGCTGGAGACGAGCTGCGCGGATCCAGTCGATCAACACCTCAGTGACATCACCCTTGCTGCACAAGGGGAAGACTGAGGTGTAACGCGAGTAGTCGTCAACCACCAGCAGGAAGTAGCGCTCGTGACCCTGTCCACGGACGCGAGCCGGGCCCCACACGTCCATGTGAAGCGTCTGCAGCGGGGCCTCTGTCGGGGGAAACTGAGAGGAGTGAGGGGCAGCTCGGAGCCGCCCCTCGACACAGGGAACACAGGAAGGACTAGGCCCTGGAGTAAGGGGAGGGAGGGACCGGGGGAGACCAGAGACAAGGACACGGGAAGCCATGCCTCGGAGACGAGGCAGGGAGGGGTGACCAAGACGGTGGTGCCACAGGAGAGTCTCGTGAGACAGGAGGCAACACGAGCAGGGGGCAGACTCAGGACCAGACCTGGACGCTGCAGCAAACACCTGAACCGACGCAGCTACCTGGCTAGACGCAGGGACAAGAGGAGACCCAGAGGTCAGGGTGTAGAGTCTTGACCCCGGCCGACGCGTAAACGTGGCCAGGTGCCGGCCTGTGCGAGCGTCCGAGCAGTGGGTCACCCGCTTACTCACAGGAGCAAACTGATGAACCCCCGCATCCTGCAGGTCAGCACCACTCACCAAGTTTGTAGAGAACGAGGGGAGGTAAAGACCACACAAGGTGCCAGAGGGGGCAGCCGGACACGGGAGGACAGTGGAGAAGTGAGAGAGGACAGGACCCCCAGAGAGGTTTGCCAGGGAGACTGCAACCGGCCAACCAAGCGGCGTGAGTGTGGTGCGGTCTCAAAAGAAGGAGCGAGAAGCCCCTTAGTCAAGTGTGAAGGTGAGGGAGGCCGAAGCCGACGTGGTACCTGAGAGCGCAGACTCACCAGCACCTGAGGGCGCAGACGCACTGGCACCTAGAGGAGCCGCCTCACCAGCACCAAGAGCAGCAGTACCAATGCCCGGGTCGGGCGGAAAGCACCGGTAACAGTCACCCTCATCACTAATAGTCACAGCATTCATGGCAGCAAGGATAGCATCAAAGTCAAGATCATAGATAGCTACGCCTGCCCTAGAAAGCTCTCCCCAGCGGGGGATCTCACTGGCCTCCGGGAACTGCTGACGCCAAGCGTTCGTTAGGCGGCCAAAGCAGCGCTGGGTGGGGTGGGCACCCCCACACTGCTCACCCGCGCGGTCGCCGGAGCGAAGGACGTAGGTGCACGGACCAAAACCCCCACCACGCAGACGGTGCGCGTACCACTCACGGAGCTGCTGAGGGGGGGGGAATGTCCCGAGAGCCCTGCTGCTGCTGCTGCTTCTGCTGGCGCTGACCACCACCAGGGCTGCTCCGCTACAAAGCGCCACCCCGACCACCGCCACCTCCTCCACCACCGCCTCCTCCACCTCCGCCACCACCGCCGCCTCCGCTAGCACCGCCGCCGCCTCCGCCGCCTCCGCCTCCACTGCTGCCATCGACACCTCCACCCCCGCCACCACTCCCACCGCCACCCCCACTCCCTCCGCCGCCTCCACCGCCACCTCCACCACCCCCGCTAGCTCCACCCGCGCCCTTGCCCCCCTTGCCCTTGCCAGAGCGGCGTCTCCCACTAGGGGCAGACGCCGCACCGACCGACTCAAGACCAACGAGGTCGGCCGCAGCGGCAGAGGCGACAGGGGGCAAAAGGGGGGAAGGAGAACACCCCTCAAAGATGGGGGTGCGAGGGTCACCACGAGAGGCTCCTACAGCGACTATGGTCTTCTCCGCTGCTAGGAGGGCCTTCTCTAAGAGGTCAACAGTGAGAGTGGTGGGACAGACTGAGAGGAAGTGGTCCCTGACTACACGAAGGGAGTCAGGAAGGCGGGTTACTATATAGTAGAGAGTGATGTACATGGGGGGGGGGTTCTTGGAGCAGAACTCAGCAGGCAGCGCGGCGCGGTATCTAGTGTCACTAGTGCGGAGGTGCGTAATGAGGTCAGCGACTGTGGGAAAGGCAGCAAGGTCAGGAAAGAGGTACGATAGCATGAGGCGACTCAGTGCAGCAGTGGCAGGGGAAGAGTAGCGCGCAACTACAGCGTCGTACAAGGTGTGAGCACTCTTGTACTGACTAAAGTGCGCGCGCTCAGTGGTAGGCAGGTGGCGACGCACAGCAAGACGTGCAACAGCATCGCGCGTGGCCCATTGGGAGCGAACAGTGGGGTCAGCATCAGCAGCAGGGGCAGGAGAGGCGTCAGAGGTGAGGTCAAAGAGAGAGAGACCGTCTGCCCTATCGCACTGTAAGAACAGCTGCAGGTCGTCGACCCAGACCTCAAAGTCAATGGCTCGACCCTCAGCGTCAAACGCGAGGACACTAGGGGTAGCCATGACAACAGTAGACTAGCAGTACCAACTGTACGACAGGGGCAGTGCAGTGATAGAAGCGCTGCTCTCACTAGACAGGGCGGTTCGGGCAGCTTAGTAGCACAGCAACACGGCAACACGGCTGCTCGGACAACTCAGCAGCAACTGCAGCTCCGCGGCACCGGCGGCTCGGCTCCTCAGGCGGCTCGGGCGGCTCGGGCGGCTCGAGCGGGCCGGGCGGCTCGGCTCCTCAGCGGCTCAGGCGGCTTGGGCGGCTCGGGCAGGTCGGGCGGCTCGGCTCCTCAGCGGCTCAGGCGGCTCGGGCGGCTCGGGTGGCTCGGGCGGCGCGGGCGGTGTAGGGCGGTAGGGCCGGTGGTAGGGCGGCGGGGCCGCAAGGTAGGTGGCGGGGACGCAGTGGGAGGGGCGGCGGGGCCGGAGTGAAGGGCGGCGGGGCCGCCGTGAAGGGCGGCGGGGCCGCTGAGAAGGGCGGCGGGGCCGCAGTGAGAGAGGCGGCGGGGCCGCAGAGAAGGGCGGCGGGGCCGTTGAGAAGGGCGGCGGGGCCGCTGAGAAGGGCGGCGGGGCCGCTGAGAAGGGTGGCGGGGCCGCTGAGAAGGGCGGCGGGGCCGCAGCGATAGAGGCGGCGGGGCCGCAGCGAAGGGCGGCGGGGCCGCTGAGACGGGCGGCGGGGCCTCAGTGTGAGGCGGCGGGGCCGCAGGAAAGGGCGGCGGGGCTGCAATGTGAGGCGGCGGGGCCACAGCGAAGGGCGGCGGGGCCGGAGTGAAGGGCAGCGGGGCCGCTGAGACGGGCGGCGGGGCCGCAGCAAAGGGCGGCGGGGCCGCTGAGAAGGGCGGCGGGGCCGCAGCGAGAGAGGCGGCGGGGCCGCAGCAAAGGGCGGCGGGGCCGCTGAGACGGGCGGCGGGGCCGCAGTGAAGGGCGGCGGGGCCGCAGTGAAGGGCGGTGGGGCCGCAGTGAAGGGCTGCGGGGCCGAATCGACGGGCTGCGAGGCCGCTAGGGCGTTGGGGCCGCTAGGGCGGCTCGACGAAGTGAGAGCCCAGAGCGCGACTCGGGCTGAGCGCGCTTCGGGCAGGAGAAAAAAAAAAAAAAAAAAAAAAAAACTCGATGTGGTGGGCCCTAGGCACAGTTCCCACGGGGGAACCTGCTCGATACCATGAGGAAATTAGAACGAGAATGGAATGACTATGGAATGAAAGTGATACAAATATGCAACCCTAGAAATGTGTACCCCATATGGGCTACCCCACTAAAGCTTAGACAACATTATAATTTGACAGATTGTGCGTACGACATCGATCTTGGAGAGCCGTTACGTCGACTGTGGTGACGACTTCGGGGGAGGGCAAACCGAGAGGCTGTACCGCTTCATTGAGAAGCACGGACCGCGTGGTTCACCAGAAATGGTGATCGAGGGAGCTTCGTCCGATGGCAGTCTCAACCGCTTCAAGGTGACGCTTCACGAGCGCACCAACCCGAACTATCGTGGGCCCGGCCACCACGACGCGTGCGTGGCGCTCTGCACCGACATGGCCGAGCATGTCGTCGAGAACCTCCAGTCCAAGCTTGGCGACCTTGAGTCTCTTTCTGGAGTGAGGCTGTTTATCCCTGACTTGTGGCAACCGCAATGGGACCGGGACGCGCGGTAGGCCCAGTGCCTGGAGTGGCTCTTGTCGCTTGTCACGTTGTTCCACGCAGATGAAGCCGACGAGATCCTACCAGGTTAGTTTGAAATGCCACCCGGTTCCCCCTCTCTCACGGCCTTTATACTAACCGTTGCCTCTTATACCTTGCAGGCATTGACAAGAAGAAGGCCATGAGGGAGCTCCGCACGCTGTGTCCAGTTCTTGCCAGAGCGCCGAAGAGTGAGCGTAAGTTCCACACGGGACTTACCGCCATTCTCAGCACACCCGATTGGCAGCAGGCGTACCCCAACCTCGGCGGACTCTGGGTGGTGATTGCAGTGCTGCCTCTCAGCACGGTCGAGTGTGAGCGAGGCTTTTCCCGACAGAACCTGATCAAGACGTGGCAGACAGGGCCTATGTTTGGTTTTTGGCTACTCACGATTAGCAGTGTAGCATTTTTGAAAACCCTTATGATCAGTGTGTAATTTTTCGTTACACTGATACATAAGTGTAACATTGATTTTCAAAAAAATTACCCCAGAGCATCAGTGTAGAATTTTTGTGTACACTTATCGCGAATTTAGATTACTAATCGTTATAAAGATCGGGAAACAATATTGACGAGATGCGAAACTGCTTGACCCACTCTGCTGAGCTTGCTGAACCAACACGGCACAGCAGTAGGTCGCTTCGTTGGGTGACGCGGCTTGCATCTGTGCCACCGACAGTATGAATGTGGTCAGGGATTTGACTAAGTGCAGGCAACATCTCGAAACATAACAAACTGACCAATTACACAGATGACTGCTGCCAACGCATATTCTGCGGGGAAGGCCGCTTCGGTACTTGCGTGATTGATGGAAATCACGCTCGTGCAAAATTTCGGGAATGAAAGGGGGGGGGGGGGGGGGGGTGCCCTGTACGCCCTTAAGGGTAATCTTCGTTTTCAAAAAATTTACCCCAGACCATCAGTGTGGCCTAAATCATTTCACTGTCAAATCAGTGTAACACTAAGTTTCAAAAAAATTACCCTAACACATCAGTGTAGGCCCTAAAATTCACCCTTCTCATCAGTATAGCAGTGTGATTTACACTGATAAAATAGGCCCTGGTGGCAGAGGGGCAGCATCAAGGATTGTAGGCTGAGCGATCTGCTTTGCATCTCACTGCTAGACTATGAGTTAAACGTCCCAGGAGTAGTCGAGATTTGGCGCGCTTACAAGAAGCGCCGGCCGTTCACAGCACCTGCATCAAGGCACAGGGAGGAGCCCCCAAGGGCTGGGAAGGAGCATGTAGATGAGCCAGTAGTGGAATGTGATCTTGTAGATTCTATGACAGACTAATGCAGACATATAACAATTGTTAGTTGTGGTGTTCTCAAACAAGAGTAAAATTTGAGTGCTAGTCTGTAACATCAGCGTTGAAAAGTTTGCGGAGTCTGAACTTTCAGACTTTAAAATTTGGTCAACTCTGACAGCCAGACTAGGAAGAGGGGTGTACTCTGATGCCTCAGACTAGCTCAAAACGAATCTAGGGGCCTGGCGTACATAGTAACATATGTACGAATATATGTTTATACTTTATGACCGGGATTGTGCAGACCTGTTCATTTCTATACCGTGTGGCACAGCAAGAAATGTGCCCCGTTGAAGAGGGGATCGATGATTGTTCGAGATTGGATATTAAAATACAGACTCAGCAGAAGGTCTGTTAGTTTTGAACACTCTCCTAGGTGACAGGGGTTTGTCTCCAATGGAGTACGTATCTTCTTTCCAGAACATTTCTCGATCGACGCTTCGTCGGAACTTTCCGCAGGTTCCGATGAAAGGACTTGCATTGAATGCACTGCTGAAATCGGATCGCGCCGCAGCGTCCCTCAAAACCTACTAGTAACAACAGAAGCTCCAAAGATATTCCACCTCCCACTCCATGCACTTGCTCCTTGTTTAGGTGTAACTAAGATTATTTTTATCATTCACCTCCCTCAAGTTTGAAGTTGGATCCAGCTAGCCCAGGTGTCAGTAAAAGCCATGATTTTGATTCTGCAAGTGATGGCCAGTATGCCACGCGGAAGTGAGAGAGTGGCTTCCAGGATCTCCCACAAGACGGTCGGTTCATTCCGTCCACGTAATACCTCAAGTGGCTACTGGGTTTCTTCCAGCTTGTCACGCGTGAGTGGCTGTTGCAAACATCTCCAAAGACGATATTATGTGTAAAATGGATGGAACAAACCTCTGCTCCAAATCCCTTGGAGCAAATGGGGTGTGTCTTAGTTGTCCCGTGGTGCATGTGCTCGGCCCAGGAAAAAATTACTCTGATACACGCGTTACACTGTAAAACATTTGCCTAGTGTATTCTGAAAGAACACTGGTTTTGATTGTTTAAAGAGTTCTAAACTGACCCAGCAGTTTGAATCCTTTGCATTGCAGTTGCAGGTGGCTGAGCATCTTGTAGCCCCAGCGAGTCGCACTTCCGTAGCCAATTGGAAGCAAATTACGGGGATAGGAAATTCATTTTCTCTAAAAGTCTGGCAGGGCAGCTTGCGAGTGGCCCTGCTTATGTTTCTTCCGCGATCTGACGGTTATACGCCGAATCAAAAGCAGACCGCCTCTAGCCGCAAATGTCGAAGCTGCTGGGACGAAAGCGAATTTCTCGACACGATAGTTTAGGATTTTCTAGTCCTCTCGGGCTAAAATGTTCCCAAGACCAAAATAGCTGGGTATGCAACTTATTGACTTTTGTGAGCTCCAGAACCAGATTGCCAAGACCACTCCATTCTTCTCTGAACCCATACAGAAACTCCCATCATTTCCACACCAAATATTGGCCCACAGTGACTCTGGGTCCGACACCATCTACACCTGGAGTGCCTGATTCGGGTGCAATCAACATGGATTCTTCCAGCTGGCGCATATTCGGTGCTCGCCGCCGTGCTTCTAGCTTCGCTAATTCAGAAGTTGACTGGGCGTCGACTCGGTTTGTGCCGTCGGGTTGTGACGTTCCTCACTTACTTCCCACGGGTGTAGTGATAGAGCATCTCAACTCAGCTTCTATCTTTTCAAGAGTCTACTTCCCTCCAACACGTTCTACTCCGAGGAGTCAATGGAGTCCAGCGTACCGCCTTCCTCCTTCGCGCGTTCTCGCCACGTTGCGTCAGTAGCGGAAGCGACACCGGCTTGGGCCGACTTTCTCGAATCGGGTGACGACATGGACGGCGGAGCGCCGTGCCGACGAAGCCTGTCGGCGCCCAACAGGGGGGCGACGACGGCGGCGGCGGCGGCGAGAGGGTCATTAGCGCGTGGAGTTGTAGACCCCTACGCGCGTGGCTGTTCAAATCCTACCTTGCAGGTTCCAGGGGCTACAGGAATATTCGAAAGAGGATTCGAAAGCTCAAGTTCGCGAAGCTCGTCACACATCTCGTCGCACAGCTCGATCAACGAAAGAATCACACGATGGGACAGCGGCCTCATGAAACAATCGACGTGGTCCAGCGATGCCCTTGCGACGCTGGTTTTGCTATCCGTGTCAGACTCAACGGCTTCAGAAGGTTCATGCGAAGATTGCGGTGAGGATTGCGACGCATGTGACAAATGCGTGTTTTCCGCGAGAGAAGCCTCTAAGCAGACTCGACGCGCGAGCTTTGCGGCCCCCGACCTCTCGATTTGTCCAAACTGTCGGAGCAGCGTTGGTTCGCGGTGCGGCTGTGCCGACGCTGCGTTAGCGTGCGATCCGGGATGGGTGGATAACGCTCGCTGCCGCATTCGCGATGCGGCGCTTGAGTTGGTCGAAGCGCAGCAACGGTGGACCGTTGCTCACGAGGAGGAGTTGACGTGGCTGGAGAAGTCCCGACCCGCACCGACTCGACTCTCGCGGCGCGCCTCGCTCGACGCGTCGCTGTGCCGTTTTCCTTTAAGTTCGTCGAGGACGGCCAGGAAGACATGCAACGTGGAAGCGAAGGAGAAGGTTGAGGTGAAGACGGGGGTGAGCGCCAGCTCCGTTACAAGCAACACCAGTGCGCGCACAAAAGTGGGGAGTCGATTATTTTCCTCACTCAAATCACCGATGGTGAAGAAAAATAGGGTATTTTCATGGCTGTACAGTTCATAAACTTCAGAACATAGTATTATTTTCACATGCTGTATCCACAAGCTGATATTTCACAGCAGCTAGCATATACAAAATTGTTTTGCTATCACCCGGGCCTTGGGATCTTGGATAAGTCGGGTATCCAGAGAGCTAGTAGCACGGATGCTGTGGCAAACATGAGCCGACGTGGGGCCCATTTTACCACCGATGGCACCCCAACATGGTTACCCCAGGTTGCCACCTGCATTGGGGAAATGAGGGGAGGAATTCAGGAATGGGAGATTAGGGTAGAGGGTTATATGCTTTCATGTGTATTTGCGTGCATCATAGCATGTGTGCTTGCACACCTTATTGCAAGGGTGCTTGCACATGCGTCATTGCAAGTGTGCTTGCATGCATGCATCATAGAATATGTGGTTCCATGTGCGAGCGAGCGAGAACAGAAAAGGAAGAGGGAAAGGGGAAAAAGAGCAACGGGAGATGATGGGGAGGAAGGGGAGCCAACCTGAGCGCCAGTGGTGGCACTCCAAGCCTTCACCGTGCCATCACCCGAGCCTGAGAGCAGAGAGTAGAGCAGAGAGAGCAGAGGGCAGCGAGGAGAGAGCAGAGGGCAGCGAGGAGAGAGCAGAGAGCAGCAAGGAGAGGGCAGAGAGCAGGGAGCAGAGAGGAGAGAAGATTGGAGAGCGAGAGCAGAACGCAGAAAGCAACAACTGAGCTGACATGCACATTCTTGCCATCATAGGATTCTGAAAGCAGTTCTGTCGGGTGTCAGGAGCAGCAGTGACAAGATTTGGAACAGTGAAGCGAGATATAACCCAAAGCAGAGAACGTATGAATGGGCGGCAGACGGGAATAGGCGGGTGTAGAGTATTTGAATATCTGTAAGTAGTGAGAATATTATGACTTAAATGTACCTGATACGACGTATTTGGCATCTGGGCTGAAAGAGGCCTCCAACGGGGCACCGTCAATGTCAGGTACGACACAGAGAGTGTGTAGCTGGTGGTGGGAGGGAGAGGAGGAAGCAAGGGGAGGAGTAAGGAGGGGAGGGATGGAGAGTACCATTGTTCAGGCACCAGTGAAGAGGGGGAGGAGTGGGAGGGAGGGAGGGAGGGAAGAAGGGAGGGAGCGAGGGAGGGAGGGAGGGAGGGAGGGAGGGAGGGAGGGAGGGAGGGAGGGAGGGAGGGAGGGAGGGAGGGAGGGAGGGAGGGAGGGAGGGAGGGAGGGAGGGAGGGAGGGAGGCGGGAGGGAGGGAGGGAGGGAGGGAGGGAGGGAGGGAGGGAGGGAGGGAGGGAGGGAGGGAGGGAGGGAGGGAGGGAGGGAGGTAAGGAGGGAGGGAGGGAGGGAGGGAGGGAGGGAGGGAGGGAGGGAGGGAGGGAGGGAGGGAGGGAGGGAGGGAGGGAGGGAGGGAGGGAGGGAGGGAGGGAGGGCGGGAGGGAGGGAGGGCGGGAGGGAGGGAGGGAGGGAGGGAGGGAGGGAGGAAGGGAGGGCGGGAGGGAGGGAGGGAGGGAGGGAGGGAGGGAGGGAGGGAGGGAGGGAGGGAGGGAGGGAGGGAGGGAGGGAGGGAGGGAGGGAGGGAGGGAGGGAGGGAGGGAGGGAGGGAGGGAGGAGGGAGGGAGGGAGGGAGGGAGGGAGGGAGGGAGGGAGGGAGGGAGGGAGGGAGGGAGGGAGGGAGGGAGGGAGGGAGGGAGGGAGGGAGGGAGGGAGGGAGGGAGGGAGGGAGGGAGGGAGGGAGGGAGGGAGGGAGGGAGGGCGGGAGGGAGGGATGGCGGGAGGGAGGGAGGGAGGGAGGGAGGGAGGGAGGGAGGGAGGGAGGGAGGGAGGGAGGGAGGGAGGGAGGGAGGGAGGAAGGGAGGGCGGGAGGGAGGGAGGGAGGGAGGGAGGGAGGGAGGGAGGGAGGGAGGGAGGGAGGGAGGGAGGAAGGGAGGGAGGGAGGGAGGGAGGGAGGGAGGGAGGGAGGCGGGAGGGAGGGAGGGAGGGAGGGAGGGAGGGAGGGAGGGAGGGAGGGAGGGAGGGAGAGAGGGAGGGAGGGAGGGAGGGAGGGAGGGAGGGAGGGAGGGAGGGAGGGAGGGCGGGAGGGAGGGAGGGCGGGAGGGAGGGAGGGCGGGAGGGAGGGAGGGAGGGCATGTACATTCTGTGTGACACCCTATGCCACAGTCCGCTCTACATCCCCAGTCACCACGTGTGCCACAGCCTGCGCTACAGCCCGTGCCACACCCTGTGCCACAGACCCAGACACAACTCTGGCTTTCGAGTGCATATCGCGGGTAGGTTTGGCCGTTGAGTGTGCAGCGAATTCAATAACAACCCCACTGCAGAGAATCTCAACCTATTCATATGAAAAGAAGATCGAATCACCAAGGAGCCAACCTTCTGCCCTTCGAACGCATCCAGCCGGTACATGCGGCCGTTGAGGGTGCAGACAGCTACTAGTGTATCACAGCCTTACATTACACTACATTTACAACACCTATGCGACACTGAAAAAGGACCCACCTTCTGCCCTTCGAACGCATCGAGCAGGTAGATGCGGCCGTTGAGGAGGGTGCAGGCATCCCATGCATGCTGCGCACTCACCCTGTGCGGTCAACCCCACTCACCCTGTGCGGTCAACCCCACTCACCCTGTGCGGTCAACCCCACTCACCCTGTGCGGTCAACCCCACTCACCCTGTGCGGTCAACCCCACTCACCCTGTGCGGTCAACCCCACTCACCCTGTGCGGTCAACCCCACTCACCCTGTGCGGTCAACCCCACTCACCCTGTGCGGTCAACCCCACTCACCCTGTGCGGTCAACCCCACTCACCCTGTGCGGTCAACCCCACTCACCCTGTGCAGGGAATTTGTTGGTGCCTAAAGGTGCAGACAACCCCACTGGAGCAGGAAAAAGGACCCACCTTCTGCCCTTCAAACGCGTCCAGCAGGTATATGCGGCCGTTGAGAGTGCAGACGAGGATCTGGTTGCCATCGTTGCTGAACTTGATGGATGTCACCTCGTCCTCGTCTCCCCCCACCAGCATTGTGTCAAAGGGACCCTGTTGGAATGGAAAAGGAAATATGAGTGTTACCCTAATGATGACTGAACTTGATGGACGTCACCTCATCCTCGTCCTCGTCCCCGCCCACCAGCATTGTATCAAAGGGACCCTGTGGGGAGGGGGAAGGGACGGGGGGGCCGGGGGTTTCAAGTTGTGGGGGGGGAGAGATTGGAGGAGAGAGGGTGGAGGATCATGGGAGGAGGAGGTGAGGGGATCTGGTTGCCGTCGTTGCTGAACTTGATGGACGTCACCTCGTCCTCGTCTCCTCCCACTAGCATCGTCACCCCATCACCCCCATCACCCCCATCTCATCACATCACCCCCATCACCCCCATCAACCCCATCATCGCCATCACCCCCATCACCTCCATCAACCCCATCACCGCCATCACCCCCATCACCCCCATCACCCCCATCACATCACATCACCCCCATCTCATCACATCATCCCCATCATCCCCATCACATCACATCACCCCCATCACCCCCATCACCCCCATCACCCCCATCACCCCCATCACCCCATCACCCCATCACCCCATCACCCCCATCACCCCCATCACCCCCATCACCCCCATCACCCCCATCACATCACCCCGATCACCCCCATCACATCACATCACCCCCATCACCCCCATCGCCCCCATCACCCCCTCATCAGCATGTGCCAAGGGGAACCTGCGGGGAGGGGATATGGGCGATGGGAAGGTTCGTTGGGTGGTTATGCACCCAAACCCTATGTGGGCGGGAAGACAACCCAGGGTTCTTACGCATAAGACCCACGGTTGGGAATAGGCTGTGTGGATAAGCACCTAGAACCATGGTTATGTGGGTCGGAAGAAGACGGGAATTAGTGCATAGGTCTGTGGATTCATGGTTGGTCAGATGGGATGGGAGACCAAACGGAACGGACGGCCAAGATTGGAGACAAGAGGTCGCTGGATTGCGAGACGCACCTTCTCGTACGAGCGAGCATCAAACAGCTTCACCGCGCCTCCCCCCATGGCCACTGCAAAGACGAGCCCCTGCTGATCGAATGCCACTGCTGGCCGCCCCCTCACTCGCATTAAGCCCTGCGTGGGGGGAAGATGGGAAGATGGGACAATACGAGAGATCCATGGGATGTGAGGAAGGATGGGCGGAGCATTGGGAAACAACGCAAGGGTGAAGCAAACGAGCCCCTGCTGATCGCATGCCACTGCTGGCCGCCCCCTCACGTGCATGAGACCCTGGAGAATGAGTGGGGAAGGAAGTGTTAAGGGGATGGGAGGACGGGGAGCGGATGGGTGGAGCAGCACAGGGCAAGGGTGAGCAAACGAGCCCCTGCTGATCGAATGCCACTGCTGGCCGCCCCCTCACGCGCATCAGACTTTGGGGAACGAGTGGGGATGGATGAGAGGGAGCGAGGAAGGGAGCTGGAAGTGAAAGAGAGAGGGAGGGAGTTGGAAGTGAGAGGGAGGGAGTTGGAAGTGAGAGGGAGGGAGTTGGACGTGAGTTGCGCCATAACAACATGGCGCCTAGAATCACTTGCTTCAGCTCACATATAACACCAAGCTCACAACTAACCACTTTATTTCGATACCCTAGTTAGAAGCTGATCCAGGGGTCAAACCCACACTTCTGAACCGGCAACCGTTGGCTGCTAACCTGACACTCGCACGTTCTGAGTTTTGATTCGACTCAAAACTCACTTCTTGAGTCGACTGGAAACTCCCATGGGTCAAACCACACTTCTGAACTGGCAACCGTATGCTGCTGACCTGGCACTCGCACGTTCTGAGGTCCCACAGTCGGACAGTGTGGTCGAGGGCTCCTGAGAGGAAGGAGTCGTTTTTGGGTGACATGCACAGGGAGACGACTCTGGCGAGGAAGGGAGAAAGTCGATTGGATGGGGGACAACAGAGCGCTGGACGGGAAATGAGTGGAACAGCATAATCGAGGGGGGGAGGAGAAAAGGGCAGTGGTTCTGGAGGGATATGCACAGAGAGACGACTCTGCAGGTGAGAGAGGGGCGAGAGTGCAACAGGGACAATGAGCCAAGGAGAGTGTCGAGAGAGAGGGGAAGGAGTCGTTCTTAAAGGATATGCACAGGGAGAGGACTTTGGTGAGAGACGGAAATAGGGGGGGGAGGGGGGGGGGGGGGAAGAGGGGAGAGAAAGGGTCGACTAGAGTTGACCTCTAAGACACTCCAATCTGGTAACGACTGGGGCACTCACTTGTCCCGATGACCTTTGAAGTAGCGTAGATAACGATTGTCGTAGAGGGATAGATAGCGCAGCGATTCTGGTGGGCGGGGGGGTGGGGAATGCAAAGAGAGGGAGGAGGGAAAAAGCGAGATAGGGAGGCCACTTTTACGAAGCATTTTATAAACAGAAACGAAACACACCATCCAAGCAGAGGAACAGGGAAATGCCAGAGGAATTGGAGCACAGCAAATGGAGTGGGGAATCACAACCAGGTATGTCGTCAGTCAGGAAAGCACTACCAGCCATTTCCATTCCACCCCCACCATCTGAAACTCACCATCCAGAACATACCATCCAGATCCCACCATCCAGAACATACCATCCAGAACATACCATCCAGAACATACCATCCAGAACATACCATCCAGAACATACCATCCAGAACATACCATCCAGAACCCACCATCCAGATCCCACCATCCAGAACGTACCATCCCAGCCGTTTTTGGAGGAGTAGAGCACGGCGGAGGGGTGGTGAGTTCGAACCAGCTGTGTTGTCACTCAAGAAAGCACTACCAGCCATTTCCAAACTCACTCAACCATCCAGATAAATAACTTACCATCCCAGCCGTTTTTGGAGGAGTAGAGCACGGCTGAGGGGTGGTGAGTGAAGACCACCTGATCCACTCCATACTTGCGGCTGTGAATCGTCTTCACCAGGCTGACGTGGCACAGGAAGAGGGTAACCAGCCACGCCGTGCAGGATCATGCCATGTACAATGTTATGCCATACCATGCCGTGCCGTGCCGTGCCATGCGGTGCCGTGCAGTCAAAGACATCAAATTGATCCAACATGTGCATATCAATTGAGCATGTCATTAACGTTTAAGAAGAGAAATGACCTGGAGAGAGTGGTTGCATGAAAAGACGACCTGGTTTGCTTTCTAGAGCAAACATGCAAGGAGCATCACGTCATGCTTACGTGGCATTTGACGTGTCATAGACTCGGATGGACTCGTCATCACTAGCCGTCACGAGAAGGTCCTCCGTCCGATGAAAATCCATTGAGTTGATCCGACCGTTCTTTTCAAATGGAAACCAACAGGGAAAGGAAGGCCAGTGAGGGTATGTCAAGTGGGAAGGTGGAAGGAAGAAGTTGCAGAAAATCAACGGCATAGGGAAGAACACACAGACGTGGACATTAGATAATACAAGACATCAGTCTCACTGAGAGAAGAGGACTGTGGAGGAGGGAAACCGAGGAACTAGTCATACTTCAGAAGAGAAAGACAAGGGGAGGACTAGGAGAGCATGCGCAATCAGCGACGAGAATGAGCGGGCGTACCATACGTTAGACAAAGTTGGAGGGAGGCGTTATACTGTGCATCAGTTGCGAAAAAAAACGGAGACGCATCACACTCGCGAAGAAAACGAGCGAGCGTACATAGTCCTCGAATACAGATGACACGGAGCCATACTTACGAGCATTCCGTAACGGAGGGAACGGGGCGGTCGTACATAGTCGTTAAACATAAAACGACGAGACGCGAGATTGCGGAGCAACATAAGAGAGGAGTGAGAGCGAGCGTACATAGTCCTTGAAGAGCGCGCCGACAGCCATGCTGTTGACGACCCCATCTGACAGAGCTAGAGGCATCGCGACCCTCTATCTCGGCGTATAAAATTTTGTCACTACAAGAATAGCGTTTCACTCTTCCCTTGTTTTATCCGGATCGCGAGATTCGTTTGGTGTGCTCTGCAGTTGTCAGTCGAGCTAAAGCCGTTCCCGAGCCTAGCTATTTGGATCAGGGATTACGATCGGCACACAAGGATGCAACACGTAGTTATGTCTGAGAGATGAAGAGGCAGGAGTACGGGAGATGTCAGGTATGACGAGGCTTGAAGTTGACGAGTCTCTCCAAGCAGACCCCAGAAAGATCAGTATAGTAGAGATAGTACTGAAGTGTATCGCTGGAAATATGAGGCGTATGTTCCAACATTATTAAGAAATATTTCCCTATAATTGTTCTTGGAGGCTTTTACATGCCACCAACATTTCCATCCCTATACACAGTCCAACCCTATTTCATTCTCTGTTTTCCATCTTTATCACCATTAACCATTTCACAAAGCAAAAACATTATCAGAGATACAGCTGCTCCCTATGTACAAGCCTATGCACAAAGAGAACACATAACTCCCTACGCGTTCACAATTATCCCGCCTGCACAATATATAACACACAATGTGGTCAATACAGAAACATATTGAGAAGAAATTGACAAATTTCTTACCATTGGGGTGGAGCATTTGGCCGGTGAAGTACGAGGAGTCATCGCATGCCAGGAACACATAGGACGGGGCGATCTCATCCGGCTGGGCCACCCTCTTCATGGGCACCTGCTTGCCAAACCCTTCCACGTGCTTCTCCTCGTAGGAGGCAGGGACGAGAGGCGTCCACACAGGTCCCGGCGCCACACCTGTGAAACAGCAGCAAGTTTAGTGGCAGTTGAACATGCATCACTGACTGACTGTACATGTGTACAAGCCCTACCACCAAGGATGACATATGTATGTCACAAGACTCGTATAATACCTTACCATTCACGCATACTGCTACGGGTAAAAGTGTTCAGCTCACCATTCACGCGGATCCCCTTATCAACCACCATGAGTGCGAGCGAGCGAGTGAGACCAACAATGGCAGCCTTGGTGGTGGAGTAGGGGAGGAGAGTGGGATTGCCACTGTAGGCGGCAACTGATGTGGTGTTAATGATGCAGCTACCCTCCTTCATGTGCGGCAGAGCATACCTGCAGATACGAAGAAGGCACGGAAACAGATACACAAAGGTGAGAATTGTAAACCTGCCGCATGATGGAGAGCCAAGACCGGGCTGTGAAAACCATGATTTTCAGATTCCAATAACCAGTTCAGGGCAATCATGCCAGATGCGTTCAAGTGCTGTCAAGTCATTGCAAGAAGCCAGTTTCACCATGCAACATCCTTGCATGACTTATACTTTGCCATGTAGAAGTAGGCGTGGATGTTGGTCTTGAAGGTGCGGTCCCACTCCTCAGGGGAGATCTCCTCGAGGGTCTTGTGGGTGTGCTGCTCCGCTGCGTTGTTCACCAGCACGTCTATGTCCCCCCCAAAGTGCTCCGCCACCTTCCGCACCACCTGCTCCCATGGAGGGAATCAGAAGCGGAGAAAAATAAGAACAGCATCAGGAGTATTGCATGGCCAGTGTACCCATGTGAAGAATTGAATGTCCAATAGCATTCAGAAGCATCATGAAGCACAACTTTCGTTTTGGCAAGATTGAACGATTGAGAAACTGTGACAAGCAAAACCAGATTCCATCGTAGATGAACACTTTCAACAAGAAACGAAACTCCACCACGAGCTGACCTCCTTGCACTGGTCGTGGTGCCCGAGGTCCACGGGGATGGCGAGCGGCTGCTTGTGCTCGGGGCGCTGGGCGTCGCGCAGCAAGCGGAGGGTCTCCTGGGCGTCCTTGTCCTCCCGCGGCGACACGTACGTGAACGCCACCGCCGCTCCCTCCAGTGCAAAGTGGTGTGCAACGCTCCGCCCAATGCCTGAATCGCCTCCCGTGATCAGTGCGATCTTACCCTGTATAAGACGAAAATGGAAGAGAACAAGCAGAGGAAATAGGCAAGTGAAGTGAGCCTTTAGTCCAATGCGAAATGGTGAGCCCCGCCCCGCCCAATGCCTGAATCGCCTCCCGTGATCAGCGCGATCTTACCCTGCAAAGAGACGAGAAGTGAAGAGAGCAGTAGAGGAACTAAGTAGTTTACTCTAGAAGTTCCGAGACAATCATGGGCATCTTATCCTAGCTGTTAGAAGGGCTGACAAGCCCTTACGCTCTAAAATGATTTCGTACCTTAGAAACAACTTCAATTCAATATTCACCTCAATTCATGCACCCAGAAACGCACCTTGAGCTTGTCGGCCGGCTTGTATGCCTCGCGAGTGACGGACGGCCGCGGCTCCATCTCGTGTTCCACGACGGGCTGCTGCGCCTGGCGCTGCGCGGGAATAGTCGTCGCCATGGCGTGAAGGTGCGAGACCGAGTGCTGCGAGACCGGGTGCTTCGAGACCGAGTGCTTTGAGACCTGAGTGCTTCGAGACCGGGTGCTTAGAGACCGGGTGCTTCGAGACCGAGTGCTTTGAGACCGAGTGCTTCGAGACTGAGTACTTCGAGACCGAGTGCTTTGAGACCGAGTGCTTCGAGACTGAGTGCTTCGAGACCGGGTGCTTCGAGACCGAGTGCTTTGAGACCGAGTGCTTCGCTGCTGCTGATGCGGTGTAACGCAAGGTGGGATACAAGTGCGAATTGAAAGCAGCTGGAAGCGAAGGCTGGAAGAGAGCTCAGAAGAAGAGGAATTTGGAGATTGGTTCTTATGGAGCGAGTTATGTAAGGGAAAGGTTGGAACGCTGCGCACGCGACGCCGTGAGACCACCATGGAGATCGCCATTCTCGATTATCAATCCACGCATGCCGATTTCCCGCCTGCCGATCTCAGGGATGGTTGCAGCTAGCTTCAGGTATGCTAGCTTCAGGCATGCAAGGTTCAGGCATGCAAGCTTCAGGCATGCAAGCTTCAGGCATGGTGAATCTGAGAGGTGCTTATGAAAGAGCTGCGACGCTCGGACTCGCACGCTCCCCACAGTCTGTGAGCGACACGAGGGCGAGAGATGGCATAGGTCGCCGTGAAAGGCGCTGATGACTGCCATGCATGCTGCCACCTCTTCATCGTGCCTGCTGGGAAGCATTCAGAAGAATGAGAGGGAAGAAAAGGACATGAGTATCCAGACAGGGTATGAGCATACGCACGCATTTACTTTTTTGGTGAGACGGAACGCCCTCTCAAACGAAAGCAAACAAACCAAACCGCACAGTTGCATTTTTTTATATGTAGTATTTTTAATACATAACAAATGTCGTCGGCCCATTAGCTCAGTTGGTTAGAGCGTCGTGCTAATAACGCGAAGGTCACAGGTTCGAAACCTGTATGGGCCACATTTTGCGGCAGTCTCGGGCTACATAGATGAAGTGGATCAGGTGCGCTCCTGTGCCCTCTGTGCCATGGATTCACCTCCACTCCCATTTTGGCTTCTGCTTTCTTTCTTCCCATTTTGGCTTCTGCTTTCTTTCTTCCCATTTTGGCTACTGCTTTCTTGCTTTCTTTCTTCCCATTTTCTCATCTTGGCTTTAACACCATTTGCTACTACCTTGTATGTAACGTGGTACGTGTGTGCAATGTAGACAGGCTCTGTCCTCTAAGACCTTAAACTCGTTTGTGGTCGTACTTGAGAACGCGAAGCTTTGCAATCTCTCTTTCCACGCTGCTGAATGAATGGTGGATGTACACTGCAAGCAGTACAAACCTGCGCAGGGAGAAAAAAAAAGTACCACAGCTGAGTATCAATTGAACACTATGACGCTTATCAATAATAGCTCAGCAAGAACAAATGTGTAACACAGAAGTGGCGAAGAAGCTGCGTAACGTGCATTGGTGGGATGGTAACAGGCCAACAAACAACTGGAGATGCAGGTGGGTTGAACAGACATGAGAGAGGCAGGGGTGACAAGCACTCTTACACTGGATTTGTGAGGGGTAACCAGAAGAGCCGCCACCGGAACGGTGTTGCCAGCCTGGCAGTTTGATTGTGGCACACAAGAGAGCAAGGGGAATAAATGATGCCACATGGACTGCCCACAGAATTGCCGCCACATATTTGCAACACGGTCATGGGTTGTGCAAGTGCTGTGGGGGAAACACCTTTTTGAGTCGCCTCATAAGTGAACCAATACTACAATTGGGCAGGGTTAGGCAGCGATACGTACTGTGGCAGGGTGTAGCACCAGATGAAACACTAGGGTGATGCAAAAGTAGATACGTACTGTAGAAGGATGTAGCACTAGAAGAACTGCTACGTTGCAACCGTTGATACTTACTGTAGCAGGGTGTAGCTCCATTGGTGTGCGGGTGCAGTGGAGAGAACAACCTTTCGAGTCACCTGTAACCGGAAATTTATGCAGTGATACTTACTGTAGCAGGGTGTAGCACCAGAAGAGAGCAAGCGCAGTGGAGAGAGCAGCAGAAGAGGTGAAGAGAAGGTGACGAGTTGATCCGTGCAGCCAGAGGGAAGCGAGGAGAAGGGCGGAGGCTGCTACTGATGCCACGTCTGAGGGAGAGGAGGGACGGAGAGGGAGGGAGAAAAGAGGAGGCGGAATGAGAGGACGGATGAAGAGAAGGTGGTGTGTGGTGCCATGCAGCCAGAGGGAGGCAGGGAGAAAGACGGAGGCTGCTACTGATGCCCTAAAGGAGAGAAGGGAAGGGAAGGAAGGGAGGGGAGAGGGAATGAAGGGGAGTAATAGGGAGGGTGAAGAGCAGGGGGTGCGTGGAGCCGCGCAGGCAGAGAGAGTGAAGGCAAAGGGCAGAGGTTGTTACAGATGCCACATTCGAGAGAGAGGAAAGACGGAGTGGAAGGGAGAAAAGTTGGAAGGTGTGGGTGAGACCTGTCTTCCCTGTTTTTTATGACAATAAAACAGGAGTATCAAAGAGGGCGCTATACGGATGTGACGAGTGGGAAGCAGGTGAGAGAAGGAGCAGGAGGGAGAGGTGGCATACCAGCAGCAGCAAGGGTATTGAAGTCGAGAATTTGCCGCAGCTCTGCATTCCTCCTCTGATTGATATAGCAAAGGGAAGTGGGAAAAACAAAAAAAAAAAGCAATCGAATTATTATGTCTAACTCGGGAGTGCAGACCAAAATGGGGAGCAATTCTTACGAGGAGCTTCGATGATAAGAGAGAAACAACAGCAATGTTGAAACACGAGGAGGAACACGAAGACGCACAATGATAAGGTAGGCCGAGAAAACGAAGAGAGGCAGGAGCGTCGAGAGATGAGAGGATGATGAGAGGATAAGAGAAGGGATAGCATGAAAATGAGGATGCTGATGCATTTGGTGCTGTGCCGAAATTGCCACATGGATTTTCCACACACACAAACGCACACATGCACACACTCACACCCACGCACGCGCACGCCTGCGCATGCTCGCACGCACACACGCGCGTACGCGCACGCACACACATACACCCACACGCACGCACACACACACACACACACACACGCACGCACACACACGCACGCACACACACACGCATGCACACACGCACACACACACACACACACACACACACACACACACACACACACACACACACACACACACACACCTGGCTCCAGGGAGAGACCACGAGGTTGATGACCCCATGCACCATGAACAATGCATATGCGAGTAGCAACAGCGATATGCAGATCTGCAAGATAGACAATGAGAATTGTAGCGCGCAGTACAGGGGAAAAACGGACCACAGGAATTGTAGCGCACAGTAAGGGCGACAATGGGACCCTGAGGAGCACATGTTGGACCAGACCGCAACAGGCAGGCACAATAGAGCCAGTTTCTGTTTATAACCCAGATGAAGTGTACGGAAGAAGCCATGAGAGGCACATGTTGGAACAGACCGCAACAGGCAGGCACGATAAGTGCCACTTTCTGTTTATAACCCAGATTAAGTGTACGGAAGAAGTCATAAGAAGCACACGTGAACACACTCGACTCGGAAGTCACTTGCCAAGTCCTACTTGAGTAAGATGCAGGCACATACACAGGACAGAACAGGGATCGATAGTTGCTTCCAGAAACTAAGAATACACACACCCACTGACCTTCCAGAAACGAAATGACTCGCGGTGTTGCTTCTCAAAAGTTGCAATCATCGCCTCCTGCTCTGCATGCCATGCCATGATGCCATGCCACATGCATGCCATGCCATGATGCCATGCCACATTCATTGCCATGGCCACATGACATGCCATTGCTACGCAATGCATCACAGCATTTTTAATTTCTGCACAATCTGCCTCACCTTCCCTTCCTCATCCACCTTCCTGCCACTGCTACGCATCCCAACTCTCCCTCTAAGGGAAGTAAAGCGGAAGAGGGAGGCACAACCACACGACCTCGCGAGTCGAGGAACTCTGAAAACCCGTCACCCTTTCACATCCCTGCCACTGCCATGCAAAATCAACTCCCAGCACGACCTTGCGAGTCGAGAAATTCTGGCTCCTCGTCACCCTTCCCACCCTTGCCACTGCCATGCATCCCACCCTTGCCAGCACCACCCTTGCCAGCACCACCCTTGCCAGCACCACCCTTGCCAGCACCACCCTTGCCAGCACCACCCTTCCCAGCACCACCCTTGCCAGCACCACCCTTGCCAGCACCACCCTTGCCAGCACCACCCTTGCCAGCACCACCCTTGCCAGCACCACCCTTGCCAGCACCACCCTTCCCAGCACCACCGCCCAACCTTGCGAGTCGAGGAACTCTGGCTCCTCGCCACCCTTCCTAGCAGCGGCGCCGCCCCCGCTCGAGTCGCCGTCCATTGCTGCTCGCTGCCTCATGATTGCCGCAACCCTGGTATACGCAGGGATAGGGGGAGGGAGGGAGGGAGGGAGGGAGGGAGGGAGGGAGGGAGGGAGGGAGGAGGGAGGGAGAGAAGGGGGGGAGAGGAGAAGTGAGCGCAAGGAGAAAGGGAAGAACGGAGTCACCTTTGGGAATAAATTCTCTATGTGACTTCAATCTAGGCGATCCGGAGTGACTTCAATCTAGGCGAGCTAGGGACGCTTCGGAGGGGAGAGGAGGGTAGGCGGGTGGACGGCAGGAGCGGGACGGCTGCGAGGCGAAAGAGCAAACGCAATTCGCGGAAAAAAGAAGCGCGAAAGGAAGGATGGGCAAATTGGGAGGGCTGGGGGAGCTGGAACGGGGGGGGGGGGGTTGATGAAGGGGCGCTGGCGGAAAAGCGCTGGCGGAGGGGCGGTGGCGGAAGCGGCGTGGCGGGAAGGGCGCAAAGCACTCTCTCAAACAGGAAACGAATTAGGTTAACTTACACTGTTGTGCGTAGTCGTACAAGGAGTGCTGAGACCGTACGGTGTGCGGCTTATTCGTTGAAACTTGAGATTCGCGCTCCAACGAACAGCTGGATGTGCGGATTATCGAAGTGATTTCATGTACAAACATTCCAAACCAAACCAAAGCTTCTAAAGCATTATAAAGTACATCATTTGCTACGACTCTTTATTGTATCGCATTTAACTATAACAAGGTTTTTGTGGCGTTTTCCCTGGCACGAAGTGCCACAATGTACTGTGACTCGAAGTAAAAAAATGCAACTCATTCAGCTTTCGGAGCATCCAGCTGTTATGTATCATTGCAAAATTCCCATTGGTAGACCAGAATTCTATATATTCCGAAGTAGATCTTCCGTTGGGGTACCTTTTTGGTGCCCTGATTGTGATTCACCCTTTCAGGAAAAGCACCTGATCGTGTGAACACCACACGCAAAAAGAGCGGGAAAACCCCCCCGCTACTCTAGCGGGAACTACGCTCAGGCAACACCAACGATTCGCCAGTTCAACCTGCTTTCCCGTTACTCACGGCGCCTGTGGAACAGAAACACAAACCCCGAAACGAGGAGCCTCTGCGAACTCCAATTCGAGTACTTGACTGGCGAACGACGGGTTCAGCGAAAAGGGGACGGGTCGCAAGCTGCTTCGTTTCGCAAAATCCATCAATTGCGATTCTCAGGTGGAAAAATTGCGCATGCGGCGCGGTTCTGGTTGGATCCCGGCCATCACGCTCTCCATGAATTGCAGGTGAGCGTACTCGAGCCGCCTCCCCAAGTCCAGCAAAATTTGCCATCCCACCAAATTTGAGAAAGATCACAAGGCTCAATGCTTCTTGTGCAAACGAATACGTATCTCTTCCTCCCAAGCGGGAAAGGCGCTTTCAAAAGCAACAGCCTCTCCTGAAGAACCATGGCTCACCTGCTGCTGCTGCGCACAGGGGAAAGTCGACATGAGATTCTAATGACCAACAGAGAAAGGCTAGGGTGTGCGAAGAAACCAGGGGGCGTGCGAGCGGGGCCATGGACAACTCAACACTTGCGCTTGCAGACAGTCTTAATTCCTGTCCTAAGGACGTGCAGGAAGAATCCGCATCCCCCCGCATCCCCTCATCTCCGCATCTTCCCTACAGACATCCACACCCATGCCACTTGCAGTAATCCGCAAGAATCCCGCGCTTTCTCTCCAATCCCGTCCTACTACTGTAGCTCCAGCGTTTAAAAAACCGAAAGCGGACAACTCGCCGCTTGGATCTTTATATTTTTCCAGCGTCTCCCCCGATGTTTTTTCACTAGAGGCGTTGGAAGGCTTCTTGAGCTTCCCCCATGCTGCCGCAGCATTAGCGGACCCGCGCGCTAGTAAGGAGAGAGCACACCGGCTACTTGAGAGGAACCTTGACGCAAGGGCCCATCCGTTGAGGTTCAAGCACACCAAAAGAGCTATGAGGCGTTAGAGTAATGACAAGGCTCGTTTTCTTCCCGCACGCCCATTCGTCCCGTCCTGCCGTCGCACAGACTGTCGCCCGGGATCGTGATCCGTCGCTCGCGGTCGCGCGCTTGTCGCAGAAGAATGTTTATAGCAAGAGGAGCGTGACTACTAGGACTTGTACTACGGAGCCTGGAGGAGCAGCAGCGGTGGGTGTATCATCTTTATTCCTGCGCGCGCCCTCCATCCGCTTCAAAGCCGCCCGCCCAATAACCTGCTGGCTTAGCCCTGAAATTATTCTCCAGGCGCCTCGTCAATCATTCTTGCGCGCCGCCACCCTCCGCGTCGCATTCAGCCGCTCAGTACCGCTGTCCTCGCGCCGCGACCCTTCGCGTCGCATTCTTCCCCGGTTCTTCCGGCTCGCATCCTCCCTCTCAGCGCTATTTTTTCGCCTCTCCGCTGGTACGACCTCGTTTTGCGACTACGCGCTTCCCATTTTTTGGCAAGTAGCCATCAGTAGCCGCCTCGGCGTTACCAGTTCGCTCTGGCGAATATCGCGAGTAGCCTATCGCGGCTCTACACCGCACCGACTGCGAATCCGTTACTGCCTCGGCGTATTTCAAGAGCCATCATCCCGTTATTATCATCATTCGTATTTTCACATCTGCTTCACGAGAAACGACTTTCGATTGCTTTATAGAGGGCTAGCGGTTCTCCCGCGATATAAGCACGTTCGATTTAGCATAGCAGCTCTGGATAGCAGTGATGATACTCCCGCGGCTCCCCCCGCTGCAGCGCAATCAGCGCAGGCGGAAGGCCGCGCGGAAACACACCCGGTACCCACAGATGTTCCGCCGTCCGCCAGAATGCTTGGCCCAGGATCCTCCGCGCCGCCCATTGGGGGAAGCTTGGCGGAAAGATTTCGCGCGAAGTGTGCCCCGCGTCCGCAACTGTCGGTCCTCGATCGCGCGTCGTTCCGCGCAATGACGGCGGAGGGGGGAGGGGGAGGGGGACGGGGCGGTGGAAGCACACCGGTCGCCACTCCGCAGAGTATCGTGTGGCAGCGCGCGGCGGCTTCCGCGGTGGCGGCAATACAGGCGGCCGCGGAGGAGAGGAAGGACGTTGCAGAAAGAAGATCAGGGGAAGGAGGGGACGAAAGAGGAGGAAAAAAGGAAGGAGAAAGAGGAGAAAGAGGAGAAAGAGGAGAAGAAGCGATAGGGGAAGAACAGTTTCTTGGAGGCGAGGAGTGTGGGAGTACGAAGGCTGAACGAGGTTACCGCGAATGGGGCCGTCACGGCCGTGGCGAAGGTGAGGCGACGAAGGATGTGGGTCGCAGCAGGCAGCACCCTGGGACGGAGGCTAGCCCTGGCGAAGGCGAAGTGAGTACTGGCGAGTTACCACCTCGATTTACGTTGAGAATGAGCGAAGCAGGGAACCAGCGAGGACGTTTCTTTTTGCAGCAGGGTACGGACACTGGCTCAGGTGCCATATTTGGAGATGCTGGTAACCAGGTAACACCAGGAAGCGGGTCTGCGGGTGTCGAACAAAGACCGTGGGTTGGTGTATCGCCTGGCATGGTAACTTGGAGTGGCACGTCAGCTGCTATTTCGCCTGCTATATCTCCTGGTTTAATGCAAGGAATTTCGCCTGGCATATCGCCGCCAGAGGTTTCAGAATTTGTGTGGGGGGAGCAGGACCGCGGGAGCTTCGCTGCGGGGAGGGGCGCACCAGGAGGCACATCCGGGGGAGCAGGGTGGTGGCGGGGTGGGGAGGCAGCGGTTTCACAGCAGAGGGGACGTGCGCAGGGGGCAGCAGCGGAACGTGCGCGGAACGCGGATGGCAGAAGCGCGGAGGGCGCGGAAGTGGAGGGTGGCTGGGAGGGGAAACCTCCCGCGCATGGTGTGCGGAGTCGACTCTCCCCTTTGCGGCGCGCGGTACGGCGCGAAACCTCCCCGTTAGCAGGCAGACACGCACTGCTGAGCGGAGACTCCGCGCTTGCGCGCAGTGCGCTTCTGAGTGGCGCTTCTGCGCCCGCGCGAGGCACCACGGATAGCGCGGCCTCCCCGCCTGCGCCCACCAGCGCGCTCCTGACTGGCGCCTCCCCGCCTGAAGCACACAGCGCTCTGCTGAGCGGAGTCTCCCCGCCCGCAGGCAGCGCGCTGCTGACTGGGGCCTCCCCGCCCACAGGAAACGTGGCGGGAAGGCGCGCGACTCCGCCTTCCCACGCGGATTTTCCGCCTGGAGTCTCCCCGCCCGCGACCAGCGCGCTCCTGACTGGCGCCTCCCCGCCCGCTGCACACAGCGCGCTACTAAGCGGAGTCTCCCTGCGTGCGCACAGCGCGCTGCTGAGCGAGCTCTCTCCTTCTGCGCCCGCTCGTGTCTCCCCGCTCGCTTCACACAGTGCTGCGCTGCAGACTGGAATCTCTCCGCCCGCGACCAGCACGCTTGAACACGACGCCTCTCCCCCTGTGGTTCCTATTGGTCCCAGGGGTAACATAATTCCCGCGGGTAGCAGAGTCCCCACGGCTAACATGGCTGGCACGGATGATAAAGCTGGCGTGGGTGGCGGCGGTGGCGTTAGCATGGTGACCATTGCACCTGCTGTCATGCCCGCTCCCTCCCGTTACTCCCCTTCCCGCCCGCCCCCCCAGTCAATCCCCGCCAAGCCCGGCAGCAGCAGCACCTTCGGTTGCTGCCTCCATGCCTCCTCCCCAGCCTACTGCTGCTGCCACGCCTCCACCCTCACACCTCTCACACCCCTCCCAGCCCTCACTCCACCCACAACCCTCGTGCCCTTCACACCCCTCTCTCGCCTCTCGACTCCTGCCAGTTACGGCAGTCCCTCCTGCTCTTCTAGGCAGCACTGCTACCAGCTCCCATGCGCTTTCCGCTGCTCTCTGCCCTGCTGCTGTATCTGCTGCTGCTGCTCCTGACGCTGATGCTAATGGCGCTGCTGCTGCTGCTGCTGCTGATGAAGCCATTCCTGCTGCAGCAATAGCCCAACAGCCACAGACACAGCAACGCGATCAGCAGTCACAGCAGCAGCAGCAGCAACACCAGGAATCACAGCCACAGCAGCAGCAGGCAAAGCCTCAGCCAGCAGATGTCCCCGCGCTACATCAAAGGCCAGCACCTAACGACCCGCACACCCTACCCACCACCCCCAGCGTCCCCTCTCTCATTCCACGTGTCTCTGACGCCCCAACCATCACCCCACCTGGCGCGCCCTCTATCAGCCCACGTGTGCCTGAAGCCCCTTCCATTGGCCCACGTGTCTCTGACACCCCCTCCATCAGTCCACGTGTCCCCCAGCTATTGCAGGATCTGCTGCTGTTCCCGGGGTCCTCGGCCGGCCAGGCTGTAGCGGCGGCTGTATTTGCGGCTCTGGACAGGTGCTGTGGGGGCAGGGCGAGCGGGGGGAGGGCGAGTGGCGGGCGAACAGGTGGGGGGAGGACCAGTGGGGGATGGGCTGGTGGGGGGAGAACTGGTGGGGTTTGGGCGGGTGAGGGGAGGGCTGGTGAGGGGAGGGCTGGTGAGGGGAGTGAGGGTGGGGGGAGGGCAGGTGATGGGGGAATGGTTGGGGGAGGAACGGAACGGGGGAGGGTGGGCGCGGGGGGCTTGGGTGGTGGGGAATTGGGTGAGGGGGGGGATGGTGGAAGCGGAATGGGGGTTAGAAGAGTGGGTTGGGGGGGGGCGGGTGGGGAGGGAACGGCAAGAGGGGAGGCTGAGAGGGAGAGAGCAGGGGTAAGACGGCATGGGGGGGAAGGGCTGGGGGAAGGGGAAGGTGGAGAGGAGGAAGGAAGGGGAAAGAGGAGGCGTGTTTTGGAGGGAGGGAGTGAGAGAGCGGGTGGAAGGCCAATAGAGTTGAGAGTGAGTGAGGGTGGTGGTGGTGGAGGGGGAGAGGCGGGAGGTTGGAGAGGGAGAGGGGGGGAAGTGAGTGGGTGGGGGGGGAGGAGTGTGGGGGGGAGGGGGGGGAATGGCACCAGGAGGGAGCTGTTCCTGGGACAGGGGGGACTGGAGAGGAGGGAGGTGAGGAAGGAGAGGGAAGTTCCGGAGACGAAGTGGGAGGAAGCGGAGAGGGAGGAGAAGGAGGAGGAGGGGAAGGAGGAGGGGAACGAGAAGGAGAACGAGTAACGGGTATATCAAGGAAAGGAGGGGAGCAAGAGGACGAGGAAGAGGAGGAGGAGGAAGAGGAGGAGGAGGAGGAAGAGGATGCTGCGATGGAGGTCGGGAAAATGGAGAGTGATGATCCTAGGAGGGGCGATGTCAGAAGAGACAAATCACTCCGGCCAGATGAGAGGCAATCCATGGGAAGGGATGGGAGTGGGGAGAGGCAGCAGCAGCAGCAACAACAGCAGCAGCAGCAGCAGCAGCAGCAAAAAGCACACTCCCAGCTTCCTCCAGAACCCCAACAGCAGCATCAACCACTGCATCCGCATCCACGTCAGCAGACACGTCAGGAGCAGTCCCATCAGCATCCGCCACGTCAGCAGCAGCAGGAGCAGCGGCCTGTGGCTGTAGCAGAGGTGATGCGGGAGCTGCAGGCTGTAGCAGGTCTGCTGAGCGGTGTGGGGGAGTGGGATGCGATGCCCCAGCCTCGCTCCCGTGCCGCACATGCAGTGCACAGTAACTGGAGTATGCATAGAAGTACAGTAGATACACTGGGCAGTGATAACACTGGAGCAAATACGGAGCGAGTGCAAGGATTTACGTCTAATGTTGACGCTGGCAGTGCTGCTAGAGGAGTGGGGAGAGGGGGATTGCTCGAGGATTGCAGTACTGAGACTGGGCATGGGGGTGTTGCGGAAAGAGAATGTGATACCAACCCGCGAGGCAGGAGCAGGTTAACAAGGGACGGCCAAGACAGCTTGGCTGGCGAACGCCGCGTGGGGACTCCGGAAGGTCATTGAGCACGGTTTCTATATGGTAATAAGGTTCAATGGTGTTGTGTATTACTGATTTGCTCCTTGCTACGACGACTGGACTAACAATAGATAAAGTTTTTACAACCTTTGTACCATAAGTGGGAATGCATCATGCAACAGCTGTTGTATCATGGACTTCTTGTACCATGCTATACTTCATCTTCAACGAATTGTTTTGTTAATATGCATCCTAAATGTTTGCAAACCTGTCTGTGACTTCTTGTAAAGTCGATTTCCTTACAGACGAAACAAGTGTTCCACACGTGGAGGGCAAGTTTTGACTTGAAGCGGAAGCAAATGGCCTTGGGACTGGGTTGGATCTTCACGGCAATTTCCAGGGTGTGTCATAGGTGTGTTCTTAAATTCTCGGTGTTTAGAAAGGTGATTAGCGGTTTAGAGCGGTTATTTTGCTCTACCATTATAAAGAGTTCAGAAACGTACTCAACCGTTAGTTTCCCAACGAAGTTGTGAATTTTGAACGTTTGGGGGACTCTCCCCTGCAGAAAACTGGGGGTTCAGTTGAAGGTCGAGTTATGGCTGCTGCGGACACATGAATGATGAGAATGATCATACACTCGGACAGCACTGTCGAAAGTGATTTCCGTTTGCTGACAGCGTTTCTATTGTTCCGTTTCTCGCTTCCCTCGTTTGTTAACATTTGCTTGTTTTTTTCGCGATGCGAGCGAGCATGCTGGGTCGAAGGCGCAAGCAGCAGCAGCAGCAGCCGCCGAAGCAGCAGCGGGTTCGCGAATCCGATTCAGAGTCCGAAGAGGCGGAGCGACAGCCGGAGGTGGAGCGGACGATCGTGGTGGACCATGGCGATTACTCCTCCTCTTGCGGCTACTGCCGAGGCGCTCGCGGCTCCAGCCACTCTCATGGTCAGGACAGGATCCCCATATTCAGCGTTTCCGTTTTACATTTCCGTATCAGCGTTCCGAATGAGCGTTTCCGTTCGTTTCACAGTTTTATTTTCAGCCTTTCCCGTGTTACCATTGCGAAATACATGTGATACATTGAACCTTTGTTTGTTTGTTTGTTTGTTTTTTCAGGAATCACCGCGGAGACTATGACCGTACAGGACTATCAAGGTACAGTGGCTGCTTACAGGAACATGTTATTTGGTAGTGTGGCGACATCTTTCTTTTTTATTTTTAGTGCAGCAGTTTTCAGACGTTTAAACAGTGCTTCCATCGTCACTCTTCACTCCTCTCCACCCCCGTGTTTCCCTTACCCCTGTTACTCCCAGACCTGTTAACCCGTGGTTGGCGTCGGTCAGGCTGTTTTCTCTACAAACCCGACATGCCCCGCACCTGCTGCCCGGCCTACACCATCCGCCTCGTGGCGGGGCGGTTTCAGCTCAACAAGGAGCAGCGCAAGGTGCTGCGGCGCATGGAGAGGTTCCTCAGTGGAGAACTCGACACCATGTTATGGCGTTATTGAGTTGAATCCATCCCTTTCCCCTTTCCTCGTGCCCTGCCCTTCCCTTCAGACCTGTTGGATCGTGGCTGGCGTCGGTCGGGTTGCTTCCTCTACAAGCCGGACATGCCCCGCACCTGCTGCCCGGCCTACACCATCCGTCTCGTGGCGGGGCGGTTTCAGCCCAACAAGGAGCAGCGCAAGGTGCTGAGGCGCATGGAGAGGTTCCTCAGTGGAGACATCGACCTTCCGCCCCCCAGGCCTAGAGATTCCCCTGCTAACCGTCCCGGCCTCGCTTTTAACTCGGGCGCAGGTTCAGGTTCAGGTTCGGGTGCAAATTCAGGTGCAAATTTAGGTGCAACGCCGCAGCAATCAGACCCTGCAAAGGGGCAAGCCCTAGGGGATGCACGGATGGAAGGGGCTTCGACTAGAAATCTGGAGCAAGGACCTTTGGCAGCAGTGCAGGCGCGTGTGGAAGGGGCTTTAAGCGGGGTGCTACAGCTATGGAGGGAGCAGGGGATGCTGCCTGCCAGCCTGGTGCTGCCTGCTGTGACACTCAGATCTGTTCCTGTCAGCGTGAGGGCGCGAGTCGGGGAGGGGAAGGGAGGGGAGAGAGGGGAGGGAGGGAAAAGGAAGGGAGGGAAGGGTGGGAAGGGGAAGGGAGGGGAGGGAGGGAAGGGAGAGGAGGAAGGGGCAGGAGGGGCAGGGGAAAGCCAGCAGAAAGGAGCGTCTGCTCCTCTGCCTGTGCTGACGTCAAACATTGCGTTTATAATCTGCTCCGGATTAAAGAAACTGCAGCAGCAGCATCCAGGGGTGACAGCCACACAGCAATCAGCAAGCGGAGAAAGAGGGGGCACAAGCGCTCTCTCTTTAAGCTCTAGTGCACAGGATTTAGCAGCAAAGCTGGTAGCCGAAGCAGAGGGGGGGTGGCAAAGGGGGGGACTGCCAGAGGGGGTGTGTGTGAGAGCCGTGCATGGGCATGTGAACGTGCTTGCTCCCGCCGCTCTGCTTCATGGTGGCATGACAACAGGCACGAATCATCAGCAACGGCAGCAGCAGCAGCAGGAAGAGCAGAAGCAGCAGCAACAGCAGCAGCAGCAGCAGCAGCAGCAACGGGACGAGCAGCAGGACCAGCAGCGGCAGCAGCAGGGGAAACAGCGCACCCCACGACGTTTAGAGATAACAACCCACCCATCGGCGTTCACTCAGGAGGAGTACGAGCTGTACCGCAAGTACCAGATTCACGTGCACGATGACAAGCCCTCCTCCGTCACCAGACGCGGCTACGAGAATTTCCTCGTTAACACTCCCCTCATACACGTCCCTCCACCTGCTCCTTCCACCTCCGCTCCTCCCACTTCCACTACTCCCCACCCACACTCAGTCCCGCCCCTAGAAGCGCCCAAGCCTGCCTCAGCGCCCCTCCCCTCCTGTGGGTACGGGTCTTTCCACCAGCAGTATCGGATCGATGGGCGCTTAGTGGCCGTGGGGGTGGTGGACGTGCTGCCACGCTGCCTCTCATCTAAGTATCTCTTTTGGGACCCAGACTACGCGTTTCTGTCCCTGGGGAAGTTTTCCGCGCTGAAGGAGATAGAGTGGGTGCAGCGCGAGCAGCAGCAGCGCCCTGAGCTCTTATTGGATTCGTACTATATGGGGTATTATATCCACTCCTGCCCCAAGATGACTTACAAGGCCGCGTATGCACCGTCGGATCTGCTCTGCCCTCTGCGCTACTTGTGAGTTCTTTTAGCCTGTAAATTGGACCATTCTTCCTTCCTCCCCCAAGCTCCCTCTTGTGGCACTTCCCCCTAACACTACCCTCCACCTGCAAAGCTTCCTACCTCTCCTCCCAAACCTACCTGTAAAATCTCCCCGCCCATCCCCCCTCTCTCTCATTCCCCCTGCCTCGCCTCCCCTTATCAGGTGGGTACTCGTCGCCCTTGCCTGCTTTCTTCTGAATCACTTTCCCTATCCTGTTCCTTCCTCGGTTCTGTCAAAACACCCTCTTGCGCCGCCGTCGCTCCTGCTCTCAAGGGGAGGACAGCCCTTCCCCTTCCCGTAAAACCCCCTCCAACCTCCCCCCCAATTCTCCTTGCCCAACCTTCTCACCAAACCCCCACACCGTCCCCCCACCCCCCCGCCCCCCTTCCTCCCCATCAGGTGGGTGCCCTTCACCCTCGCCCCGCCCTCTCCTCGACCGCTCCCCCTACGTTGTTCTCCTCCTCCTCGCACTGCCAAAACACCCCCACACCCCCCCTCCCCGCCCCCCCCTTCCCATCAGGTGGGTTCCGTTCTCCCTTGCTCGCCCTCTCCTCGGCCGCTCCCCCTACGTTGTTCTCTCCTCCGCGCTGCCAAAACGCCCCCACACCCCGGCCAGCCTTCCCTCTCTCACAAACTCGCACCATCAGCCTCTCTCTTCCATGGGAGGGGACGGGGCTACAGTGGGGGAGGGGCGAGAGGAGGGAGTGAGAGAGGCAGTGCGAGGGTATACAGGGGTGGGGGGGGGACAGACCGATGCAGAGAGAGCAGAGGCACGAGAACTACAGGCTGCTGCTGAGAGAGGGGCTGGTGGGTTGGACGAGACGAGTAGCAGGGAGGATACTACTAACGAGTATGGAGTGCAGGGAGGTGTGTACAGGGCCCAAGAGGACAGGAAAGGGGGCCAGGGGGGGAAAGATGGGATGGAGGTTGATGCGGGAAGGGAAGGAGACTGGCGGAGAGGAATGGTAGGAGGAGGGGGGGAAGCGGGTGGGAGTGAGTGTGGAGGAGGAGGGGAGAGATGGCCCGAGGAGTCGAGTGAGGAGGAGCGGCAGGAGAGAAGCAGGGAGGTGGCAGCAACAGTGATGGCCATGCCACTGCTTATCAACGGCTCCTTGCAGATCAGCTTTTCGGTGAGTGTGGGGGCAGCTGTGAAATTCAGCTGCTGTGTCTGAGTGTGAGTGTGGTGGTGGGGAAGAAGAGGGGGAGGGTTCTGGTTCCTTTTATCGTATGCGAGATGGCCTGCCATTTGCTGCCAAGCATTTCAGCATCCACGCCAAAGCAAGATGCTCAGTTAGTTGGATTCAGTGGTTCCTGTCTTGATCGTTGAATAATTCGTTTTATACAACTTCTGAGTAGATGGAAGATAACCCTCCCTGCTATACACCACTTCACAACCACCAGTTTCTTCCCCGTTCTAATGTGCACCCCACCGTTAGCAACTGCTGGAGACTGGTTCGCTTTCCTCTGCTTCCATTCTGACATATTATTTGGTGTTTTCAAAGTCCCAGTCCATTTACCCATCTTGCCCACCCCCCCCACTCTCTTCCAATCTTTCCCTGTCCATCCCACCACCAGCAACTGCTGGAGATGGGCTGGCTTTCCTCTGCCTCCACACGGGCCATAACAGCAGCCCTTAAGACCTTCTGTGAAGCTGCTGGGCCTGAGGCAGCTAGGCGCATTCTCTATGTCGTTAGGTAGTCAAGGAGTTGAGTGCAGCTGATGATTTCTCGACACTTCGTGCGTTTCTGCTGCTATATGCGCCATAACAGCAGCCCTTGAGACCTGTGAAGCTGCAGTTTGCTAGGTGGCCTGGTGCGTCCTCTATGCCGTTAGGTACCTGCTGCAGTAAAGAGTCTCTCCAAAGGGTGGCGAGCGTATTGTAGGTAGCTCCAGTACGGGCAATGCATCAAGTTGTAACGTTTTTACGTAATTTCTTCCTGTCACTGTACCAGACGTTTCAGGACTCTGGGCTGTGTATACTGCTAGTTCATAGACATTTGGGGGAATATCCCAGCGGAAACGGGTCAAGCCTGACGACCCTCTGACGACCCTCTGACAGGCCCTCAGATTCGTTTGGGGGTACACTGAGGCCTCAGGGCAGTTTTTAGGAAATCAGAATTTGCCCTGATTTGTCAGGGCTGCACACGGTGAGGTATTGTCAGAATGAGGAATGGGGTTTGCATTGATGTTGGTTGGGGTACATATGACAAACCCTAACTTCTGTACCCCCTAAGACAAACCTCACTACAGGCTACAAACATTTGACACACCCCCATAGCCTAAGTGAGGGGTGTCTAGCAAAAACAAAAAAAAAAAGAGTACGGTCACAAGACCAGTCCAAAAGAAACAAAGCTCAGGGTGGATCACAACGTCACCACACACTCTGAGCACAAGCAACAGTGGCCACAAGGCCAGTCCAAGAGATCACAAGTATATATAGTAAGTGTACAGACGAAGCAGGCAATAAACTCAAGTCTACGCATGACTAGAACCTGTGTCAACAAGGCCTAACTGCACACAACACCTCTTGGTGGTCACAAAGCGGAAGCGCCTTGGTGAAGATGTCTGCAGTGTTGGCCTCGGACTCTACAAACTCGAAGCGAGCCTGTCCACGGCCTCTGCAACTCTCGCAGAAGAAAGTACCTGACGTGAATGTGCTTCACTCTGCTCTCCAGTCGCGGCTCACGACAGAGGAGGATCGACGCTTGTTGTCAGTAAACAAGGTCGGTGCAGAGCTCGGCCGCTCACCAAGGTCGGCGAGCAAGAAGGTCAACCACCGCAACTCCTGTGCCGCCATGGCACCAGCGTAATCTCAGCCTCAGCTGTAGAGGTCGAGACAGAAGAGGAGCGCGTGGAACGCCAGGAAACAGCTCCAGAACCCAGACTGAAACAGTACCCCTGAGTAGACCTCTGAGTCTCAGCGTCGTCAGCGTAGGAGGAGTCACAGTGACCAGTGAGTACGACAGACTGCTGCCCTCCAAGAACTAGGCCCCACGCCTGATGTAAGTCGCTAGGTACTTCGCCACCCTCACAGCTGCCGTCCAGTGAACAGGACGGTGTCTCCCTGGTGCAACAAAGCGCGCAAGGATGCTGAGAGGGAAGGCGAGGTCCGGGCGAGTACAAGTCATCAGGTACATGAGCGCAACCCACAAGCTCTGCGTAGGGGACCACTAGGCTCAAACGGCTCGTCAGGAAAGGGGACCAGTGAGTCTGTGGTCAACAGCTAGAGGTGTGCGCTGTACGGTGGAGTGCTGAAGCCCGAACCGCTGAAGGACCTGCTGCACCATGTGTGACTGTGAGAGTGTAATGGTGCGAGCGGCTCTGTCCCTGGTGATCTGCAGGCCAAGGTAGTGGCGCAGCTCACCAAGATCAGTGCACGTTGTGTCTCTTCTGCAGTTCGGACTTCACGTCTGCCAAAGCAACCCTGTCCGGCAGTGGCGAAACGAGGTCGTCGCACGTAGACCAGGACAAAGAACGGTGTGGAGCCACGACGAACGAAACAGCGACGGGTCGGCAGAAGACGGCTGGAAACCACAAGGTCAGAGAGGGTAGAACGCAGAGTGTCGTGCCACTCACCGAGGGGCCTGGCGAAGACCGTAACCAGGTCGCCTCATCCTCCACTGGGTCCCAGGAGGGAAAGTGACAGTGAAGGCCGAGGGACGACGTAACCAGACCTCCTCGTGTAGGCTGCCCTGAAGGAAAGCAGTGGAGAAGTCGAGAGAGTGTAACTCGAGTCTCTCTGTGCTGCTACGTGTAGTAACACCCGAAGAGTGGTCATCTTCGGGGTAAGGTGCGAAGGTCTGAAAGAAGTCAACTCCCTCGCGCTGACTTGAAACCTCTAGCCACGTAGCGCACCTTGAAGACCCGGGGGAGATCCCCGGTGCCGCTTCACCCTGTAGATCCACATGCCGTCGACTACGTTCGCCCCAGGGGGGGGAACCTCATCGACGTAGTGTGCCTGTGGATCTGTAGGAGGCCATCTCTGCGTCCATGGCAGCTCTCCACTGAGAGGACCCAAGACCCTGACACTGCCTCAGCGTAAGTGCGAGGAGTCGGAATGTCAAGGGCGTCGGGGTCACCCTCAGGGGCGAGGAGCATGGCACAGAGATGAGGGGAGCGGCCGCCAGGAACTCTAGCTCAAACTGCCTGTCCTCTAGGGCGTCACAGCCAAGGGCAGACACACCCCCGACGGCCAGAGGACTGGTAGGAGGAGCAGCCACAAGCGTCTGGTGGCGTAGTTCAAGGCGGCGGGTAGAGGCAAAGTCAGTAACTGCGGCAGTAAGAGCGGACACAGAGGACACAGAGGCACGAGGGTGAGTAACAAGAGAGGCGAGAACACGAGAAGAGAACAGGACGGTACGTGCGGTAGTAGTCAGTGACAGGAGTAGGGGAGCGACACAGTGAGGGCCGACTCAGGAGGAGACGGGAAGCACAGACTGAGACGGACGAGGTGGACTAGAAGAAGGAAGGCTAGTACGAAGTTCAGTGAAGGGAACAGGAGACGAGGGAACGAGCACGAGGGGAGCGACGAGTAAGACCAAGAACGAGACGGAGGAGGAGAGGACAAAGGCGGAGAACTGGGGGAAAACAGCGGGGGGAGGAGTCAGGAGGAGGTAAACGTGGGACCGTAGACAGGAGGAGAGGCGGAGGAGGGAGGAGAAGGGGAGGGGAGACCAAGGATCCGAAGACCCGAGACAGGAGGAGGAAGTGGCTGCTGCTGCTGCGGCTGCGACTGCTGCTGCTGCGGACGCGGCTGCTGCTGGGACTGCTACTCCTGCGGGTCCAGCTTGCTGCTGCTGCTGCTGCTGCTCTTGCGGCTCCAGCTGCTCGGCTGATGCTCCTCCAGCCGCTGTAACTACTCCCTCTCCTCTCTCTCCAACTCCAGCTGCTCGTCACGGGCACGGCGAACACGAGCCTGGTGCCTAGTCGGGTAGGGGTGGGGGGGGGTGGAGTAGTGTCCGAAGCAGCGGCAGCTCCAGAGTCCAACTCAGAAGAACTAGGCGCACCACCCCAGAGGCAGCACTAACACCAGCTCCAGAACCAGGCTCACCTGAACCCGAAGGAGGCGCACCCTCACCCCAGACGCAGTACCCCCAGTGTCCGCGCGGCCAGCACCAGCTCCCGGACGACAAGAGTCCTCTGCACCCACCGGGTCAGCTCCAACTCCAGAACCAGAACTCCAGCTCCAACCCAGCTCCAACTCCAGCACCCCCAGAACCAGAAACTCCAGGGCCAACTCCAACTCCAGCACCCCCAGAACCAGAAAACGGTACAGGAACAGGCGCCGCACCAACCTCTCGAGAGCTAGCACCAGCGGCACGCTGCGAGGAGGACTGTGGGAGGGAGGCTGTACCAGAGGGGCTACCGAAGGAGGAGGGGTAGCCTGGGACACACCTGACGGGGCTGGACCAGGGGGGGGAGGCTGTACCGGGGGAGCAGGAAGGGGAACGGCAGTCAGGAAGAGGGGGGGAGGAGGAACCAGGAGACCTCGACTGGGGTACCTGACGTAGTACGGAGTGGACTCCTCGAAACGGACGTCACGGGAGTCAAAGAACCGGTGAGAGGGAGGGTGGTAAAAGGTGAAGTCAGAGGAGTCCTCAGGGAAACCAAGGAAGACATAGGGGACGGCACGAGGCAAGAGCTTGTCCGCGGGAGGTGTCGCGGACAAGAGCCAAGCACCCCCAGACACGAACCGCGACGCAACACCAGGGGACCCTGTCCAAAGACTGGTCGGTGAAACCTCTGGTCGAGAGACACGTGGCCAGAGGTTCAGCTGGTGCGCGGCGTACCTGACCGCGTAGGGCCACAGAAAATGGGGGGCACAGGCGTGAGTCAGGGAGGTGCGGGCGATCTCCATGACCAGGCCTATGCGGCGCTCAGCAACCCCATTATGCTGTGGGGACTCTGGAAGCGTCCAGGACTGACGAATGCCCTGCTCGCGACAAAATCCAGCGAGAATGCCGGAGCAAAACTCACCCCCATGGTCGGAGTGAGTGGAGACAACTGACACGACGACCACGAGTGTCCTCAGTGGTGAGCAAACACCTGATCAGCGTAGAAGTCACCTCAGACTTCTTCGCAGAAGGGAACACTGTGGTGTAGCGGGAGAAGTCGTCAACTACCACCAGAAAGTAACGCTCACGCTCAGGGCCTAGACGAGGGCTGGGCCCCAGACGTCCAAGTGAAGCGTCTCAAAAGGCTCGGTGGCCGGACGAAGGGAGGAGGAGTGAGGGGTTGCGCGCGCAGCCTACCCTCGACGTAGGGACGACACGCGGCGCAGGCGAAGACGGCGGCAGCGACGGCAAGACACGTGGGAGGCCTAGGACAAGACGCTGACTAGACATAGCGCGTAGACGTGGAAGGGACGGGTGCCCCATCCGGTGGTGCCACAGAACGGTGGGGTGGGCAAGCGACCGGCAGGAGCACGACGCAGCGACCGGAACAGACGTAGGAACCTGACACGACACAGACACCTGGGGGGACGTAGCAACCTGGTGAGACGCGGGGACCCGAACGGGGGGGGGAACCGGGGGCAGTGGCAGTAGGGGGGGCTGCTGGTGCGGCCGCTGGTGCGCTGCTGGTGCTGCTGCTGCTGCTGCTGCTGCGGCTGCTGCTGCTGCTGCGGCTGCTGCTGCGGCGCACGCGGGCCAGTGTGAAGAGTGTAGAGACCCGAGCCGGCTCATCAGCAGTAAAGGTAG